GGAAAGAGAGTCATACAACTGAAGACACGCTGTATTTTTAATTTCTTTAATTTCCAGTTAGTAATTTCCTAAGATTGTGTGTCACAGAAAACATCGCGGCTCTCAAGAGATCAATTATGATCAAATAGAGGCGCAAGAAAGAGAGTCATACAACTGAAGACACGCTGTATCGCCATGTGTTTTAATTTCCAGTTAGTAATTTCCTAAGATTGTGTGTCACAGAAAACATCGCGGCTCTCAAGAGATCAATTATGATCAAATAGTCGCGGTAGAGGCGCATAGATCTCCGTATAATTTACGAATATTGTTACTGTTACCATTAATTCTTTACTATTTTTCTATTATCTAATTAATTACGCGTACACTATGTTTAGAATTATGAAGAAGTTTATGATATAGCGTTTGTATTATATTGATAATTCCTTTTAGCTTAATATATGTCCAATTTCTTTAGTATCTTTTAATAACTCTGTGACATATATATAATATATACTATTCGTATATATCTCCTATTTGAAATGATGACCAAAGACACACCCTGGTATACCGTAGGCCGAAAAAAGCAAATATACTAGTTAATATTGTTAAATGAGAAAGGTGGAGAAAATAAAATGGATTAGAGATATAGATAGCTCGGCTGCTCGTAGAGTGCGCGAGTGTAAATCAAAATAACTGTAAATAAAACAAGATTTTATTAATAGCAGATATCAAACATGGAATATAACTCATATCCGTTTCCGATGATCCGCGATCCTAAATAACGCTGTTATGAATTGTGTATGTAATATGATATAAATGTAATGCTAAAATCTTGAAAACAGATATATTTGTATAAAGAGACGAAATTTTTACCCCCAAAAGTTGTTTGATAAATTTCGATATATTAATAAAATAAAGTTTGCAAAATTGTTTACGTGCAATGTACAGGCTCTCGTTCGAGATTTTTTCAAAACCGCTTTTAATTTTCGAAACGCAAATGGAGTCAAGGATAACGTAGTTCATGACAGCGCAGCTATTTATTTTATTTGCGCTATTTTGCTGACTATTCATCAATTTCTCGCAGCGATAGCACGTGCAGCAATTTACAAATGTGACAAGCACGCTATTATCGTTTTTTATGTTAAAATTAATCATTAGACATTCCGCGAAACATACATATGCATACGCGCATATATACAAATGAGTACCTATATAATAAAGCGACACCAAAAAGAGCATAGCAATTGGGGAGTAAAAACTGAGCGAAACGAGCAGTTCTCCTTACAAATTTGAAGATAATCGCATTGTCGAAAAATGGTATGTTAATATTTTGCAGATGCACAGTTTCGTATAAGCAAAAGAGAAAAAAAATAACTATCAGAAATATCAGAACACGCGACACAAAATCAATATCTCTAAATCTTACAAAAAATTTCAGGATAATATCATAAAAATGTGTCGAATAATATTTTCCTTCATCGTATACAATTAAAAATTCTTCCAATATTTCAAAATTAAGAATTAAATTAAAAGTAAGGGAAAGTATTAATATTATAAATTATATAATTTATATTTAATAGAGAAAATCATTCATCTTTTCAACATTAAATTATTCCACACAATAATAAAGCATTATATATGAAACTAATATTCATATGAAACACACATAACATATGAAACTAAAATTCTTAATCATTGCAATGTATTCGTACAAATTAAATGTATTATCCCGGTATTATAGAATATATCATCAAGTCCTACGAACATTCGGTATGAGATACCTGGTTATCCGACACCGCAAGCACCATGTTCGTCACCCTTCGTAAGTGGACTCACAATGATGGATGTCTGCTACGACGGTAGCACCAATTTATTTCTGAATATGTTGAGCATGTTAACTACTTATAGCACAATAATTAATGGTGTGTGCGACCGTATCACGCCTATTACGAGAGTGCAGGACACTTACGATTTTATTGTCGTTGGAGGTAAGATAATCAATGTAAAAATAATTACAACGCTCCCGCTTATCTTGCTTGATATTAATCGAGACATTTTCGCTACATTATTTCAAATGCAAGATTATTAATTTAAGATCTATTCTCAGAGATTGTATCACGACAATTAAAAATAAACGAGTCAAGTTGATTTTTATTTGTAAAAAAAAAAAAAAAAACGGTTTGAAGATTTTGAGTACTAACTCATCATTTTGATTGCGTTTTGTGTTTTCATTTTAGGTGGCGCAGCTGGATCGGTCGTAGCTTCTAGATTGAGCGAGATTACGGACTGGTCTGTACTCCTCGTGGAAGCCGGACCGGATGAACCAGCTGGCACACAAATACCAAGCAACCTTCTAATCTTTCTCGGTAATGCGTCTTTGTACTTTTTTTAATTGGCAAAATGACCATTCGCGCAGTTAATTTTCGATCGTATTCGCGATTGCAGGTACGAGCTTGGATTGGAATTATACAACCAGTAACGAATCGCATTCATGCTTGAGTACCAACGGCAGGTGCAAGTGGCCGAGGGGCAAGAATCTCGGCGGATGCACTTCCCATCACGGTATGGCGTACCATCGTGGCCACCAGAAGGATTACGAGAAATGGGTCCAGATGGGAAATATAGGCTGGTCATGGCAAGACGTACGTCCAAGAAATTATCATCGATCACAAACCATCAGTATCGCGCAAAATATTATTAATAAACATTTTTATCTATCAGGTGTTACCGTTTTTCAAAATGTCGGAAGACAATAAGGACGTTGGAAGGATCCCGGGTATCCTTCCAGAGTATCACGGCACTAATGGTCCGATGACGGTTGAAAGGTACGAATTGTTTCACGATATGTTTCTCTATGTTACATTATTCTCACAATATTCTGCCTATGATTACAATATATCAAAATAAATACATGTTTAGAATTAGATAAAACTGTTGTGAGATAAATATGATAATATTACCAAATTTGTCTATCTAGTTATCTTTTAATATTTATTGTATTTTCTATATTTATCAATTCTCTATATTTATTAAATTCTCTTGATTTATTATACAATATAATTGATTATAAAAATTTATATTCAAAATTTGTTATTAAACTATTTTTATTTATTCAAAATTTAGCATTATTATTAAAAAATATTCCAATGTCGCATCTATTCTATGTCGCAATTAATGTGCTTGATCCGGCATTCATTAAATATGGATCTACGCAAATTTAGAACTGTCACGTGCCTTTGACGTTATCCCCGGCATTTTCCCTGCCACTTTAATTGATCTATAGATACGAATTAGACTCGCTGATCACTTCCGTTAATAGATTCCCCTGGCAGCCGAAATTCGCTCGGGACGTACTGCGTGCGGCGGAAGAAGTAGGTTTTGGTACCACCGAAGACTTGGTGGGCCCGAATATCACGGGATTCGCCATCGCACAGACGATAAGCAATAACGGCGTCAGATTAAGCACTCCCAGAGCTTATTTGTGGCCGCACAAGAATCGGCAAAATCTGCACATAGCATTGAACGCGACTGCGCTAAAAGTCAATACAGCACGTAAAGGGTCGAAAGTGATAGCTACGGGAATCACTTTCCGTATGGTAAGATTACTTTTTTTCGCCAATTTTTATATACGCGCGATTGTATCTCCGTCAAACACGTAATGGCTTTCGTATTCACAGAATGGCCGCGATCACAAAGTACGTGCGAGAAAGGAAGTAATCCTTTCAGCCGGCACAATAAACTCGCCTCAGCTTCTGCTTCTGTCGGGCATCGGGCCAAAGAATCACTTGGATTCTCTAAGGATTCGAACGGTTGTCGATCTGCCGGGCGTCGGCGAGAATCTCCATAATCACCAGTCGTACGGCATAGATTTCAATATCGACCATAAGATAATAGACGAGCTAGATACCGATAATGCCAATCAATATCTGTACAATCAAACCGGCCCGATGTCGTCAACGGGTTTGGCTCAACTCACTGCAATCCTGACGTCTACATTCACCACCGCGGACGATCCGGACATTCAGATCTTTTTCTCTGGCTATCAAGCTACCTGTAACACGGACGACAGGATTCCGGACTTGACAACATACAACAATAAAGAAACCGTTAGATTTACCTCCGTGAATTTACAGCCACGCAGTAGAGGTAAATGAATGGTTATATAATCCGCGAGTGTCTTAAACAGCGAGAAATATTAGCGGCAAATATTTTTCTGATAATATAAATAGCGATATCTTTATACGACTTTTTTTCTTTTCTCGACTTTGGCAATTAAAAATGATTAATTAAATCTTTCTTCTTTTTCTAAAAAGTCTAATTTTCTTTAAGAAATGAAAGTTCTGCTTATTGCAATTAAATGCAGATAATTTTCAGGCCGAATCACACTTGCATCGAACAACCCTTTCGACGCTCCGATTATCTGGGGTAACGATTTTGCGGAGCAGATCGACAGAAGGATTGTTTGCCAGGGTATTCAAAAGATCTTAAAATTGTCAAGGGCGCAAGCATTGGAGACGTACGGTTTGAAGAGGGTAGATGAAACGGCTCTGACGTGCAGCCAGTACAAAAAGAATAGTCGTGCATATTGGGATTGTCAAATCCAATATAACAGCCGACCTGAAAATCACCAGGCCGGCACTTGCAAAATGGGACCCTCCTCGGATCCCATGGCTGTTGTTAGTCCAGATCTCAAAGTTCATGGCGTGGACAGATTGAGAGTAGCCGACATGTCCATTATGCCGCAGGTAAATATAGCGTTTTTTCCGTCATTATTACGAGATTTTAATACAAATGTTGCGAGCGATAATGTCCTTTTTGTTTTTTAACTTATGATTATTTTGAAATTAATCTAACGTCATGGGCAAATAATTTTTACCAAATATTTGCAATGCAACATGCTTCCGATTGTTTAAAAATTATAATTAATATGTATTATTTTCTTCAATAGGTGATCACCGGTAATCCCGTTGCTGCGGTCAATATGATCGGCGAAAGAGTTGCTAATTTTATCAAGAATGATTACAATGTGATTAACAATCGCGTGGCGAACGAAAATGATTAGACAATGTCCAAATTTCTTTTGTCTGCCAAAGAATTATGAATACAATGGATTTCTTCCCATCGGTATCCGAATTAATAGATTTAATATATATTACGCAGATAATATATATTATAAGATAATATGTATAAGATATAAATAATAAAAATAATATATATTGCAGATTTTATTTTTACAACTTTGTGAGATATTTAATAAAGATATTATCCACTTGGTTGTTAAAAAACTTTGTTTTTTCATATATCTTTACCCAATACGCGCGTTTACATATAAACTAATCTTCTGGATATCAGTTATACAGCGCAATAAAAATAAAATTAATTTACGAATGAAAAATTTTGGTTTAAGAGATTTATCTTCATTGTATATAGTAAAGTTAAATTACGGTAGATGAGATCTATGATAAGCCGATTTAAAGAGTGTTTCGTTAAATGATACTTCCTATTACATGTTCGTTTCATTTAGAGTTAAACTCGATTTTATTGCATATTTTATTTTACCTTCACCTCAAACATACGAATACAGAATTTCGCGTTTATCCATTAGTTTAAAAACAATCTGATCAAAAGTTTAAATCAACAGTTTTATTCGACCGAGCTACATGCTATTCATAGGTAAATAAAAAATCGAGAATTATTATTTAATTTATCCGTCGATCTGTAGACAAAATTAAACTAATTTCCCGCTCTACGGACGGTTTTTACGACGCTTCGAAGCAATACGCCAGCTATTTCAAAAGATCCACTTACGATATCTTACATCTCAATTATTAAGATGGAAAAGAAGGAATGCATCTTGGAGGAGGTCATGGAAGCAGAATGGAGCAGTACCGACTTACCTCTAGCGGGAGGGGAGAAGGAAGGGGGACCCGCAAGGAATCACAGAAACTGGAACCTGGAGAGCTAGCACTCGACCTCCTTAGACTCGCGTGCTTACACGAGAGCGATTTCGCGACCCTTCGCTTGACCTCAGTAGCTATTCATCCATTTGAACTTTTCGAGATCGAATGCCAGTCTCGGGAGTGCATTCAACATAGAACACCCAACGAATGCTTCGATCTATCAATAATCGTACCGCGGTTCACGAGACGGATTATTGATGAATTCAAATATAGGCATTACATTCCGCTGAATTACATCAATGCATTTATTCTGATTATGTATTTAAACGAGAGATTTTTGGATAAATAAATATCTGAATGCGACAGTATATATATTCTTATAAATATTAAAGCTTTTTACACTATAAAAAACAGGGTGTTAATAAATGTTCAAAAAATTTGATGGAGCTGTGGGGTAAAAATCTCGTTAAATTATGTAAAAAGATACTTACAAGGAACATTCGGCAACGCGAAAATTCAAAAAAATCTGAAACTTTGCATAATTATAGAATAGTAGTCCCTAATAACGAAACGATTTTTTGTTAGTGCTAAAAATCGGTTTCAGGGGTGAAAACAATCCCTTAGAAAATATCGGTTTTTACATTCCAAATGTACTTAAGAATTTTTTCAAAATATCAAAGAAAAATATTGAGTGGTGGAGACATTTCGAAAAATTTACCATTTTTTTTAAATCCAGATACGCCATTGTAAAGTACATTTGAAACCATTAAACTTTTGTTTAAACAATTTTTTCATATCTCTTTTTGTTTCAATAATATTCGCTTCGGAATGTAAAAACCGATTTTTTCTAAGGGGTTGTTTTCACGTCCCTAATAACGAAACGATTTTTTGTTAGTGCTAAAAATCGGTTTCAGGGGTGAAAACAATCCCTTAGAAAATATCGGTTTTTACATTCCAAATGTACTTAAGAATTTTTTCAAAATATCAAAGAAAAATATTGAGTGGTGGAGACATTTCGAAAAATTTACCATTTTTTTTAAATCCAGATACGCCATTGTAAAGTACATTTGAAACCATAAAACTTTTGTTTAAACAATTTTTTCATATTTCTTTTTGTTTCAATAATATTCGCTTCGGAATGTAAAAACCGATTTTTTCTAAGGGGTTGTTTTCACCCCTGAAACCGATTTTTAGCACCAACAAAAAGTCGTTTCGTTATTAGGGACTACTACTCTATAATTATGCAAAGTATCAGATTTTTTTGAATTTTCGCGTTGCCGAAAGTTCCTTGTTAACATAAATCCACGCGAATCAGAGTAAATTCTTTGCTTCGATAATGCAAATTATTTCTATTCTTCGAATTGCTAAATTCATTATGCAAGTTATTTATAATTTCTGCATTCTAGTTGACAGACTGAAACTGTAAGGTATGTCCTCGAATTCCATTACGTCATGGCACCTTTAAGCGAAAGAGAATGTCAGACCGTGTCATTTGAACGCTTCCGGCGGAATAACACATTCGTATCTGATACGCGATTTGTTATGCATCACTTAACGCCTTATCGGCATCATTTCTCACAAAACCTTTGTCTTTCTCTCTTAAATCTATCTAGATGCTTTAACGTGCGAATATTAATTCTCTCAGCAATTAATGTCCATTAATTTGCTTGAAAATTTAATAACTATACGTTGAGTGTTAACTTTTAAATCAACCGGATTACAAATCTCGTTACCAACGATCAATGTAACATACAATATATATTTCGCGAAGGATTAACTGAATGGTTTTCTCGAATGTTTACCTGATTTCCAATCCATTCGAGTGTCACACGATTTTTTTATTCTACAATACGCGTTCGATATTTTACCCGTTGTTGAAAATATACGAGAGGAAAAAATATTGAATTATTATCCCCATTATTCGCTGCTTGGTGACACTGTGTCGCGAGTTTTAAGATACGCAATTTTTGCATCTCAACGTACATTACATCGCCGGCGCTTTCTCGTGTCCAATATACATTGCGACTTCCGGTGCACTCTCGTCGTCCCAAAACGAGAAGTCTCGCTCGCAGAAGTTTATTTTCCTCATCCGTTCATTCCGATTGACTGTAACCCGCTTGCGGAAAAAGTTTTCGGCGATGTAGATAGGTATAACGAGAAGAGAGAGAAAGGAAGATATATGTTTGACTATTCATGTTTTCGACGGATGCTCGAGAATCACTGATAGACCCGGCGGGATCGTGTAGACACCGTTACATACACAAGTCGGCTGGTCCAAGCAGATGATGAGATAAACAAATTATAAATAAAACATCGAATATACCGCGTGCGCGCGCGCGCGCGCGAGGAGAGATGAAGGCTATAGGCAACCACGACGTACATACGTACTATACTATACATCGTCCGCACCCCATCTCGTCCTCTTCGTCCTTCTCGCTGTCGCACTCGTCGTTGTCGTTGTGCCAGGAGCGTAACGACTGCTTTGAATTTCATGAGGGTGCGAATGAATTCATGGTGGGATGGCGCGGTTGGCCCCGGAGACTCGGCGATTTCAAACGCCTCTCCTGCGACCTCCCGCAGTTACGCGCTTTACAAAAGTCGAAGAAGCAATTCTCATAATACTAACTGCCGCTTATTTTACGCCGAATAATTCCTTAGCTCCGCTGGACAGTCTAATGGCCTCGCGAGTTTCAAGAAGTCTACAAGTCTACAGTCGTAAATCTTCGAATGCATGAATTTTGTAAAAAGCTATCAAATATTAGAATATATTTATTAAATATATCCTTTTCTGTTATCATCTTTAATAAATATCACTTTGGGCATCAATATTTACTTCCGATCGTGAAATTACAGGCAACATATTTAGGGAGACATTTAAGAGGAAGACTCGAAAGTGACCCATTATAACGGTATAAGCCTTCATGAATTATGTAATCCGTTAAATTGCGAAATATCGAACTGATAAAGCAGATGCGGTCACGGGTATTTCCGAAAATTATGCCCCAATTCCTCCGGCCAAATCCGATTACGCCGGGTGAGCCCTTCGCGCCCCGATGTAATGAAATCTCCGTTGCCTCGTTAGGCAGTAACAGCGGTCGCTTTGACGCCGAAATTTATAATTTCTCGCTTCGTCGTTAATGTGACATTAGAGCAAAGTTATAAAATTACATACGAGGCCCAGCGCCAGGTGACTATCGACAAACAAATAAGTGCATTAACCACGGCGTTCGAAACTTTGTTCCAATTAGGAACATGTGAGAGCATCACTGTTTAATAAAGCCGCCTGTGTGAAAATGGCTGCTAGAAACAGAAGTTGAAGGGCAAGTAAGAATCATCGACACTATGAGTTTAGGCATTTCGGGAGCCCCGAGTTTCCACGCACGTTAACATTTTATTCGGTTTGAAACTGATGATCAATCTTTATTTCTCTAACGCAATCTTCTAAAAAATCAAAGAGAGAGAGAGAGAAAAAGAGAGACAAAATAAACATTTTTAATAACAACTCGTAGCATTCACCATTGTATGCTATTTATCATTCAGATAGGTAGGTCAAGATAAAATTCTCGACAATATCCGCAGACTTCCGTCGTTACGAGATCTCGGCCTCGAGATAAACGAGTCGAATCATTAATATTTGACCCCGCGGATTATCCGACAAATCCACGGTGGTAGCTCACTGTCGCGACGAGGTGAGAAACGAAAAGGAGGACCGATCGCGTCTCCTAAGCCACGTAGGCTTAGGGACACGTAACTCAACCGTACTTCTCGGTTAAAATATTTTGCCGGTTGCCTCGTTATTTATCCTGTCAGAGAAAGTTGTTGTTGGTGTCGTCGGTAGTCGTTGTAATAAATGTCCTATCCTTGAGAGCGCGAGACTTGGCTCGCGCAGGAGAACGTCGTTACACAAGTCGGCCCGTCGCGCGGACTGGTTTTGCCCTACTTTTTGCGCGACATGCCAGCCACAACTACGTCGAGGACAATATACAAGCGTCTAAGCGAGAAAATAAGATATGTCGACGAAAGAGAGCGGTGTCTCTCTCTTTCTTTCTCTCGCAATTCCACTACTTCTCTAAAAATAATTGGTTCTACGCAAAAATGCGTCTTTTCGAAAAAGGTAAAAAAGGTCGACGTAAACATTCTATTCTTAAAAAAAAGTGAAAAAAGTCAGTTTTAATACTAAATTTTATTTGCCAAATATATATACCAAATAGCATTCTGACAGATGGAAAAATACTATGTAACAGATCTATTATATTCATTAACGATACATGCTTCATCTATTTCAAGCGATGCATTAGCATTGAAACAAGAATTGATTA